TCAGCTCTTCAGCTCAAGGCGAGCGCTCTACCACTTGAGCTACAGCGCCACTTCCGGTTTTCTGGTGGTTTATTGGAGATAGGAGTCTCACAGTCTCTCCTGCCTGGGCTGGCTTTGAACCGCGATCCTCAGATCTCAGCCTCCTGAGTAGCTAGGATTACAGGCGTGAGCCACCAGCGCCCGGCTAGGGCCTGGAATTCTTGTGCTGAGTTTTTTCCATTTATCATTGGTACTCTACCACTTGAGTCACATTTCCACTTCTGGCTTTTTGCTGATAAATTGGAGATAAGCGTCTCTCAGGTTTGTCTGCCTGGCCTGGCTTTGGACCCCTCCCATTCATCAGATCTCTCTCTCTCTCTCTCTTGCTGGTCCTGGGGCCTGAACTCTGGGCCTGGGCGCTGTCCCTCAGCTCTTCAGCTCAAGGCTAGTGCTCTACCACTTGAGCAACAGCACTACTTCCAGCTTTTTTTCTTTTTGCTTATGTGGTACTGAGGAATTGAACCCAGGTCCTCATGCATGCAAGGCAAGCACTCTACCACTGAGCCACCTTCCCAGCTCAGATCTGTCTCTTGAGTAACTAGGATAACAGGTATGAGCCACTAATGCTCAGCCAGACTTGGTCAAGGATTGATTATGTGCAGGGAGCCAGTGTCACTCCAACTCTGGAGTGAGTGCTTGAGACTGGAGTCTAGAGAAGGCTGGTCTTGTGGGGATCAGAGCACTGGATGGCGGAACTGGGCAGGGGTCCAGGAATCTTCCACTGGTGCCATTTCTGTTTGTTTCTCAGAATTGCCTCTCCTGCAGGCCTGCGAGACTCTCTTGGGGCTTAACTTTTCACCTCTTTGAGCCTAACACAAACCAGACCCCAGAACTTTGGCCAAGGAGAGCTGGGTGTCCTGAGCCTCCTGGGAAATCCCCACCCCCCCTTTTTTTGTAGTGCAACTGGGGTTTGAACTCAGGACCTGGGTGCTGTCCCCTTCACTTTTTCCCACTCAACACTGGTATCCAACTACTTGAACCACAGGTCTACTTCCAGCTTTTGGTTGTTAATTGGAGATGAGAGTTTCATGGGCTTTTCTACCCGTGTTGGCTTCCCTACTATGACCCTCAGATCTCAGCCTTCTGAGTAGCTAGGATTGCAGGTGTGAGCCACCAACAGTCAGCTATGGGAAATCTCTTTGAAGGAAGACCCCGCCTCCTGGCCCTCCTTTTGTGCCTTCCTTCCCCAGGCCTGGAGCAGGAGGTACAGAAGCTGAATGAAGAGATCAGTGCAACCCAGCAGGAGGTGACGTTCCTGAGCACGTACATGGACCACGAATATTCTGTCAAGTCAGTGCAGATTGCCAATCACACGCGCCAGCTGCAGCAGGTGAAGGACAAACAGCAGGTATGGGCGTTCCTGGCCTTGTTGTACCAGGCCACGTGTGAGGTGGGCCTGGTGGACACTGCCCCCCTCCCCCACTTTCTCCTGGCCTCCCAGGAAGAGCTGGATAACCTCTTTGAGATGCGCAAAAAGGCCCTGGACTCTTTGTGCGACATGATTAGAGAGAAGGAGAAAGAAATTCTGCAGTCTCTGATGATCGTGAGTAGCTACCTGCTGTGATGAGCCTCCAGCTCCTGCCACAGCCCTGCGGTCCTTCCTGTCCATCCGCCTCCAGCTCCTCCACACCCTTGTCAGTCTCTCCCAGGCACTGTTGCCCAGGGAGAGGCCCCTGAGGGACGGCCCTCCTCCTCCATCCACAGAAAATCCAGCAGCCTTGTGAGACACGTCTTCGGCAGAAGGCCCAGAATAGCCAGAACATGCAGAAAAGCATGGTCTTTCTCCAAGATGTAAGTGGAAAAGGGCGGCCAGGGTCTGTATGTGAGGGAGAAGCCAAGCGGGGTAACAGATTGTCCTGATTTAGAGCTCAGAAGCTCCCCTGCTCTGGCCTGCCTCCTTACCAGTCAGTACCTTTTTCGTCTTCGTCACCACCACCTCCTCCTCCTCCTCCTCCTCCTCCTCCTCCTC